TGACGTTCAGATGAAACCCTTCTAAATTTGCTTTGCACTGATTTTAAAGAACGATTCCTTTTCTTGTTATTTCTTTCATAACTTTCATTAGTATCCCAATGTCGCCAATACTCAACAGCTCGTCTTTTATAAGAACTGTCAAAATCTGCGTCATCATTTGAACATTGAAGACGAGAATTTAAATTATCTTCACTCCATGCTTCTTCGTCATCTTCAATTATTTCAAAACTATGTAATTTATAAGGTTCTTCATAATCGAGATAGGTTTCTTCCGTTACTTCCAATCCATTATAATAAAAAATGCTATCCAGTAATAATTTTTGTATGTGGTCCTTTAATTCTCTTTCTGCTTCAATTACTGGTGTTTCTGTTACATATATTGAACTTATAGACACCAATAAAAGTCTAACAACATTAAGCGGATTGATAATCATTTCCACAGATGTTAAATTTTGCTTTATATTGTTATATATAATAAAAATAATTTAACAATTGCACTTGTTTCGGTTAACTCTTCGAATTAAACTTCGCAGTGATCCGCAGGGTCGACGGGTTTTATCCTAGCTAGCAAGTGGGTCACTGTCGATCAACAGTTGCAATTATTGCTTCACAAAAATAATTGCAACTCTGCAGAAATTTGGTGGTCGGTCTTCTGAAATGTGAACCGATCCTGTGTAAGCAGTTTTAATTAGGTCTTTCTTGTGTCATTGTCGTTTTTTGCAACAATGACCTCATCGTTATTAGAATAACAGCTTACAACACACCTCTGAAGAATTTGTGGTAATGACATTTGTGATAATGATATAATCATCTAAAAGTCAGGAATCTCATATCAGAACGTAACATATTTTTCAAAAATAATATTTTTATACAATCAAATAAACTTTTGAGATATATCTATACATTATAGTATTTTTTAATACGCCATATAGTGATTTTTTGTGCATTTTTTAAAGATTCAATTTTATTATAAGATGTGGAATAAAATCGTCTTTAATTTTTTTTCATGGAAAAATATAATATCAAAGAAATAACAGGGTACATATATATTAAAAAATATTAATTTAAAAAATCTATTTATATATGCATGTATATATTATATATATATATATATATATATACATTATGTGTTAAATTATTTTGTTCCTTCTCTCTTTGTCAAATTACATTGCGCGCGAGATTCATGCAATGGGTGGGACGGAGATACCGCGGGAGGGAGAGAGAAAGACAATTGCAATGGGGCCCGCACTGGACCCCCTTTCGCGACCCTGCGTCTAGTTATACATATGTGTAATCATTTACCGCTGCATGGAGATGGGACAATGTTAATATGTTGTGGTAAGTATCTAAATGCTTTGTTCTCACAACATTATCGCGACATAGAGCTGTAGTGGTATGTATAACATGTATGTGCTTGCACATTGAGATGTAGAAGTAGTCACAACATGTGTTTGAATGCTAGCGCATTTGATTTTTATGTTTCTCGGGTACGAACATCTCTGACTGCATTTTGAGTTTTAGTGTCAGTCCACCATGCATCGACTACGTTTTACAGAGTGCATGCCAACGCTGGAAATACTTCTACGCAATCGTGAAATTGGCAACAAAACGTTTTTACGGGACCACAACATATTTGAAGAAGATTTATACTGTTATGAACATATGAGCAGGAAATCAGATTGTGTATATACGACACGGATTTGGGTGTGTCTTATGTTGGATAGCGACGAGAGGAATGACGCGTGGATGGTGGGCCTACGTCAGAGGGTGGAGGCCGAGGAGCGTCGGAGATTCCTAGTAAGTACAAAAAATGCTTCGCAATTATATAGACGATGTTTTTTATTTAGGATAAAGACGATGTTTTTTTTCTTTCAGAGCTACCTTCTCGATAGTGACGACGATGACGATGATGATGACGGCGGCGCGAGGACGCCTCCGCGGGTGAACCCGCAGATGGAGGCGTCGTGGGACGCGAGGACGCCTCCGCGGGACGGAGCGTCGGGGGACAGCGGTGCGAGGAGCCCGCAAGAGAGATCGCGGGAGAGCCCGCTGCGAGACGAGGCGAGCCCGCGAGAGAGAACAGTTGCTTACGACAATTAACATGAGTATTTTTTAAATAACTATCTTTCTTTCTTTTTCTCTTTGAAGCATTTTTTAAATTGTTCCCCTTTTTGTCTGTTGCAGATGGCAACGGATAGGCGGATTTGCCTCGATTAATTTCATATTTTTTTGTCATATATTCTATAATATATATAATCATATAGTATATAATTTTTTTTAATAAAACAACTATTATTATTTTATTCCTAATATATTATTTTCTTTATTCTCCTCTTCCTCTTCGCGAACGTGCGATAACGGGTGGGACCGCGGGGTGGGACGGTGGGGCCCGTGCGCAATGTGAGGGACGCGAGCATTGCTGCGGCGGCGGCGGCGAGCGCGAGCGCGATTCCCTCTTCCCCGCGACACCCGCATCACCGACGCGGTTCCCCTCTTCCCGCGGACCAACAACGCGGTTTCTCCGTCCCCGCGCACCCACGACGCGGTTCCCCCGCCCCCGCGGTCAGGCCAGCTGGCGCGAGCAGCTTTCCGCGGCTTCCCCCTCCCCGCGGACCCCGGATCAGACCGTGAACGTTCTGAGCGACTTTCCCCTCCCAGCGGATTTCCTGTCGACCCCCCTGCTCCTCACCCCCCCTCGGAGCTCCTGGTTCAGAACCGGCCTATTACAGCTACTCGTATCGTATCTGTTGATCGACTGACTTGTCGCATCGATCCCGAGACTCTTTTTATAGAGAATCGAATCTGTGGATTCGACTTCCTATTGGTGAGTCCCGGGAGAGGGGAGATGAATTTCGTCGTAGACGACCGGATGACCTAAACAAACAGATCGATATCTTTTTCCCTTTGAATACATATTTGCGTAGTCTACTACTGGCGACAGTGAAAGAGACTCATCTAATTCGCATATTTGTGTCGTCTACTGGCGACAGTAATAGAGACACGTCATCCGGTTTCGTGTACGGTAGAATGATTTATGTGTATCAGATGTTTATACATAACATCGTTGAATGGGATGGAAGAAACGAAGACAAATGCTAAAGTTGATGAAACTACCATACGCTATATTTTGGTTACATTATATGTTGTGATGGAATAGTTGTATTCTTAGAAAAAAATTATAACAATTATTTAATGATAAAAAATATTATATAATTCATTGAATCGCTTCAAATGCTTTCATCTATTTACAAATTGGTACAAACCTCACACGAAGTGGATGACTTGGGTGAAGTGTAATACCGGCTTCTAGCCGAAGATTTTTTAAATAATCGACGGGTTCCAAATAGAAATTGTTTATTAGAGGGACTGTTATTGCTTTTATTTGCATCATAGCAAATCGTTGACCTACAATAAATATAATAAATATTACAATTTGTTTATATATGAGATTTAAGGCGATCCTAAACTCGTCTGTTTTATCGATCGAACGCGATTATTTTCCAAAACAAAATAAACATAATTAAAGGCAACAGACATTAAAAAATCCTTCTCCACGATTAAAGTATAGGCATCATTATAGTTCCGGCTAGTAGAGGTTATGCTGAGAACGCAAAAAATTTATAAAATTTACATCTCCGTTACCTCTTCTTAGTCCAACATGGCGTCTAGAGCTGTCATATGTGCCAATATTTGCTTCGTACAACAATTTGGCAGTTTGTTGGTACAAAATGATACCAGCCGGAACTACGAATTACATGTGCAAACAATGTTGAGTTTATAAAATTAGGCTTGGATGCCTAATAAAAAAGATGTATGTTCTTGAAAATTTGTTATCCCCCTTAAAGGGATCCTAAACCCGAGATCAAACTCCAAAAATTCGCTGTTTTATCGACGATTTGTGAGTATGTATGCGTGCGATATTGACATAGTAGTGTGTAGTGATGTGTTCATGTTTACTACCATATCTATATCTCACGCACACATCGTAACAAATTTTCAAAAACATACATCTTTTTTATTAGGCATCCAAGCCTAATTTTATAAACTCAACATTGTTTGCACATGTAATTCGTAGTTCCGGCTGGTATCATTTTGTACCAACAAACTGCCAAATTGTTGTACGAAGCAAATATTGGCACATGTGACAGCTCTAGACGCCATGTTGGACTAAAAAAAGGTAACGGAGATCTAAATTTTATAAATTTTTTGCGTTCTCAGCATATCCTCTATCAGCCGGAACTACAATGATGCCTATAATTTAATCGTGGAGAAGGATTTTTTAATGTCTGTTGCCTTTAATTATGTTTATTTTGTTTTGGAAAATAATCGCGTTCGATCGATAAAACAGATGACTTTAGGATCGCCTTAAAAAAGTATGGCTTACCGATACAACTACGTGGTCCAGCACTGAATGGTATATACGAATACGGATGACGATTTCGGATCTTCTCAGGCAAAAATCTATCCGGGTCAAATATCTCTGGATTTGGCCAAAAATTAGGATCTCTATG